TGCCGAAGGGTACACCATTAAGTCGGGCTGATTTAAGGGCTGTCAACATCAACCTCTGCGACATGTGCGTTATCCTGTCAGCCAATCAGAATAATATTGATGATGCTTCGCTGCAGGACAAGGAATGCATCTTGGCGTCACTCAACATCAAATCTATGCAGTTTGATGACAGCATTGGGGTCTTGCAGGCTAATTCCCAAGGTAAGGACTGCCCTATAATACTTCTCTGCAGTGCCTACAGGGGACAGGACCTGGCAGGAAGAATATCCCTCACTCAGTAATTCAAAGAGCCCTACATCAACTTGCTTGACAGTTAAACCTGCTGATTGGTATGATGGCTTTTAAAGGGACAGTCACATAGTTTCTCTGCTACATCACAAAGCACATCTTGCAGAGGAAAAATGAATGAATGTGAAACTGGCATTTTTTTTCTCATTTTAAAATTTTCCTAAAAATGTAGATAAAATCATTGCTTTCTCACCCTGCCCTGCTCTGTGGTTTTCTTACCAGAGTGGTTTCTGTAATAAAGCCAAAGGTAACTCATACTCACTTCGGAATATGTGAAGCCTCTGTCTAACAAGATATTTTTTTTTGTGTAAAGCACACTGCATCCACAGAAAAAAAGAACTGAGTAATACAAGCCAAAAAGTAAAATAGAAAGAACAAGATTTTAAAATTGTCTTTACAGTTCTTGTGCCTTCTTGCTCAAAAAGCCACCTAGAATTAACTCAAAGCTAATTTCTTGCCATGGTTTGACATGTTCTCATCCCATTTAAGGACATTGAACAGAATCCTTCAGATTTTACTGAGAGTAGGGGACTGATTCATAGGTAGCCAAAGGCTATTTTACACCAACTGTGCCTGTGCAAAGCAGTCATAAGCACCCTGGCAAAGACCATCAGTGTAAAAACAATCATCTTTCCATCCCTGAAGGGTCTTGCAGCTTATGCAGCTGAAGTCCTACCTTGGATAAACCTATTAAGTGCTGCAGTAAATATTCCCTCTGGATCTATCCCTGCTATAAACCTAGGTGTAGAAGGGATAGTGCTTTGGTCTGCAATTTCCCCACAAGCCTGACCTAGAGATAGTTTTCCCTCAAGGACTCTGAGAACTAAGATTAAATTCAGTTTTTCCTCTTTACACTCTAATCAGGAAAGAGAAATTATGAGCCAAAAATCAGAGGCAGCGGAGTAACTTGAATATGGAAATATCTTGAATGTAGAAAATTGTTTCTTATACTAAGCAATAAAACTATGGAATTTAATACTGGAATTAAGCTGTACCAGGAAACTAATAGTTTGAAGTTTTCAAAGTCAGGTTGGATAGTTCTGTGGATAACAGGTACATTTAGAGAAGAAGAGGAAGGGGTTTTCACCATACATGTTCAAAGTTTCAAATCTACGGGCTGGAAGCAATACAGCCCCAAATATCTTAGAGTTCTTCCCTTAAAAAATTGTGAGACTGACTTGCTCATGCAAACCAGGACACTCAGTCGCTACAAAAACGTAGTCATGATTAGGAAACTCCTTGCAGAAGTGGAAGACAGGCATGGAGGCTCCTTGTTTTGCTGATTTAGGCCTGGGATCTGAAATTTTGTGTCTGAAAACCAAATGTGTACTTTCACTACCAGGCTCTTGGCTGTTCTTTGGTGGGTCTCTCTCAGTATCCTATCACACACCTAATTAAAATAGTCAAGAAACAGAATCTGTTTGTCTCACCCCTTTTCTCCCTTCCCTCCTGCTCTTAAGCACGGGCAGTCTGAGAAAATGTCCTTCTTCTGCCTTTGCTCAGAGGTTAGTGGTATTTCCAACACTTGGCTGTTGTATTTTACCCCTGGGAATATACTGGATCTTAGACCACCCCTGAATGAGGATGTAAAAACCTAGCAACATAACAGTCTTGTGCACCACATGAACACCTCTCATTTTTCACTCTCTATCCTTGGAGGTATTCAAGACCTGACTTCATAAAGCCCTGAAGAACCTGACCTCAGAGCTGATCCCGCTTCGAGCAGCAAGTCAGACTAGAGACCCTCTGATGTCCCCTCTAGCCTGAATTGTTCTATGATCCTATAATATCCAGGTTGCTGCTACAGCATAGCCCCTATATGTCAGGAAACATGGAGAGGGACCATGATCCAAATCCCTTCAGCCCTATTCGATGCTGGTGATGCATAGAAGCAGAGCCACAATTGATTAGCACATACTTGTAATTTGGACTTTTCTTCAGGTATATATCAGTCTGCATGTAAATAAAAGGTTCCTCTTTCTGTAGTTTTTCCGGGGAAACAGAGCATAACATAGGGCAGGTAAACAACAGCCTATTTTAGTTGGGGGCATTGACTAGGGAGGGGTTCTTCTAAAACCAGTTGCTTCTGAAAATAATTATCTTCCTAGTAAATTCTCTGCTTATGGTATCCATAACTCCTGATTTTGGTTGCAATGCTTTCACTACAGTAAATTTTCTTGAAAGACCTTGAATACAATGGTTAGACTGTCAGAAGCAATTAGATCAATAGATAGCACAAACTTTACTGGAAGTTATATCCAATGTGACATTTTTGTCTATGAAATGCAGCTTTAACGTATGGTAGACGCAACTATCATGACGATTGTATAAACTAGCTGATTTAACTTTTGCTGGTCAACAAGCAGCACACTACAATCACCTCACGGCTCATGGCTGCCAATTAAGTACCTTTATTTAGAGAGTGAGTTGAATTTTACTTTTGGTTAAACATTTCTGCATTTCACTGAATTTCACTGAATTTCACTGAATTTCACTGAATTTCTAGAGTTGGAAGGGACCATAGAGATCATCTAGTCCAACTCCCCTGCTGAAGCAGGATTGCCCAGAGCTAGAGCACGTTACTCAGGACTGCATCCAGGCGGGTTTTGAAAATCTCCAAAGAAGGGGACTCCACAACCTCCCTGGGCAGCCTGTTCCAGGGTTCCGTCACCCTCACCGTGAAGAAGTTTCTCCTCATATTTGAGTGGAACCTCTTATGTTCCAACTTGTGCCCGTTGCCCCTCGTCCTCTCACTGGGAACCACTGAAAAGAGTCTGGCTCCCTCCTCCTTCAACCCTCCCTTGAGATACTTGTAGGCGTTGATAAGGTCTCCCCTCAGCCTTCTCTTCTCCAGACTAAAGAGTCCCAGCTCTCTCAGTCTCTCCTCATAAGGGAGATGCTCCAATCCTTGAATCATCTTTGTAGCCCTACGCTGGACTCTTTCTAGTAGTTCCCTGTCCCTCTTGAACTGGGGAGCCCAGAACTGGACACAGTACTCCAGTTGTGGCCTCACCAGTGCAGAGTAGAGGGGGAGAATGACTTCCCTTGACCTGCTGGTTACACTCTTCCCTATACAACCCAAGATACCATTGGCCTTCCTGGCCGCAAGAGCACACTGTTTACTCATTGTCATTTTACTGTCCACCAGGACAGCATTATTTGACATACTTACTTATCCTTAACACGTAGCTGGTATAGACCTTCAGTATTGCCAATCTGAATTTTTCTACATCTGAATGTATGATTTTGAGTTGAGAGATTCCTCACCAACACCATCCCTTGAAAGAACATTCTGTGCTGTGCTTTTATGTGACTCCTAGTACTGATCATAGGAAACACAGATATTAGAAAATCTGGCTGTGTGGAAGAATGTCAGTTGACCTGTGACAGGATGTTGAAAAGAGAAGAAACAAAACAAAATATGCGAACAGCCTGAGAAACATATGAGTTAAGCTGTGAGATTTTTGGTGAGGGAATTAACAGTGTAATCTTACCCTTGCTGTTCTAAGTAATAAGCTAGTTTAATTTTGTAGTCACTAAGCAATGGAATCTCATAGGAAAACCTTATATATAATTTCTGTTTATGCCTCTGAAAAAGAAAAAAAAATAGTCATTTAATTGATAGGTTATTGAATACACTAAGAGCTTTCCAGTTTTTATCCATGATTATTTCACTCCAGTCTCAGAGAAAAGATGACACCAATACAAGAAGTGCACTATAAAAAGCAGGATGCAAAATTATTTAATCATCAGATAAGTCATAATCATTGGCCAGTGCTGAAGTACAGGGTCATATCTATAAGTCCTTTTTTCTAAGTTGGTAGAAGAAAAAAAAAACAACATAAATTTGAGGATTTCCTCAGAGCCTCACCTTCATCACCTACTTTAACACCAAAGTCAATTGCAGTCCTACGCATATGAACATTCATCACCAGCCAACCTTCTGTATCCACCCAAACATGTCCTTTCCAACCAGGGACATAGCATTGCACCAACAGATGCAATCTGAGAGGAAAGGCCTTGTAGAAGGAACAGGAGGGTGGACATATGACAGCAATGCTTCCTGATAGGGAGGGTTCTGTAACAGCAAGGCTGCCAATTCCCAATGAAGTAACTGCAGAAAGAAAGTCTACTTACTTAATCTATTTTATATCAACCAAGGATTTTCTCATTACTAGTTCAAGATGAACTTAATATACACAGAGCATTTCTCATGCAGGAACAAAGACTTACTAGTGTCTCCTTATAGTATTAAAATATTCCGCGGATTTTGGACTAGGCAGCATTAATTATCTGCACCTTCTATAAGTAGTGTGACAACTACTCTGGTTGTCCTAACTTGTCCTGCCAGAATTGCATCTTAACCAACTGGAGTGCTCTGTCTTGACCTCCTGAAGAAAGAAAACATACCATACAGTTCCAAGGCACAGAAAAAAAAATAAATTCTGGACCAGAGCTGCAAAGGACCCTGGAGTATCCAGAGCAGATGACAATAAACTATCTAAGTTGTCAAACCTATGTTCTTCCATCAGCTGTCTAGCAATATATGACCAAATGCATGACTACTCTGAGCTGTGGATGGAAACAAGGTGTCTTCTTTGGAAGGAAAAGCTTTCTAACTGTTCCGGAAGGATTTAGTCTCCTTTCAATAAAGTGTGTGATTCTACTCAAAAAGAACAAGAAACTCTTCCAAATTGGACCTGTGTTGTTGAAAACTCTCACGTTGAAAGCATTCTCATGGCTGTCTGCATTGAACATTACAAAGCTGACTGGGCAACTCCTTAGGCTCACTGGAGGTTAGGGGTGCAGACTCTCATGTCCTGAAAATGAGTTTTTGGAAATCATCAGGGTAGTTTCTTGCCTTTGGGAGACCTAGATTCTGAGAACAGAAAGGCCAAAGTGTATCCCACTGA